GGTTTTTATCCTAGAACCTTTTACTCCATGGCCACACGGTGGTTGTCACAATGCCGAGAAACAGGTCTGCATGCAGTAGCACCCAAAACAAGAAGTGAGAGCAGAGGACAGGGATTGCATGACAAGAAAAAAAGGTTTTGTCCCATAGGCTTCTTTTTCATCAGGAAGAAAAATGTCTCCCTGAATCCCTTAGTAGAGTTCCCTTTAATGGCCAGAACTGGATTCCATGCCCACCTCTAGAGCAGTCACTGGCAAAGAAAGCTTGAATCAGTTATGATTCATTTTCAGGCCAAACTAGGGTTCTGTTAACAATTGTAAATGTTAAAATTGATCCAGGGATTTCTGGAAAGCTGCTCTCTTCAACTCAAATCGAGAGGGGATTTAAATAGCCCACTTACTATGTATCCCTCAAGTAAAGGAGAGAATCCTGAATTAATGCCCTCTTAGAGTTTATTTGTTGTATGTTTTCCACAACAGGTATGAGCCCCATGTGAGAGAAGATCTTAGTTCTTGTACCCGACCCAGTGGATTGGCCCCCTCGACACCTACTCCAAACTCCTGATGTGCCTTCCTGTCTAAGAGGCTGGACAGCTAAGCCTTATGTTTCAGGGACTCCCTTGAGCCAAAGCTCCACTGTCATCAGTACCCACATGAGACGCATAAGGAACTGGATGAGGAAGGAGAACCGCAGGACGTGGGGCATCCTTTTGGCTGGGGTGAGTAGTGGCGGAGGTGCTACAAGAGCTTCCTGCAGCATTGGCGGAAGCTCTGACCACAAAGGAGCTGTGACCCGGGGACTGGGAGCTGTTTCTACAAGCTTCGCCTACAGCCTGTTCTTCTAGCCCTTCCAAACAGTTGTGTAAGCCTCCTACTACCTAGTTGTGAGTCCCTTTTTGTTTAAACTAGCTAGGGAGGCTTCTGTGGTCTGTAACCCAACCCTAACAGAAAAGGATCCTATCAAGGAAGGCCTCTAGGGAAGACATGGAGTCTTCTGCAGAGAAGCTGGAGACAGTGCTACTTGCAGGGGTGGAGGAAGTCCTAAGAGATCCCTGGAAATAGAGATGCACTTATTCTTGGCCAAGTGAGCTCCAGATAAGATACCCTCAGGGAAGGGAGGGTTTCCAAAGCACCCACAACCAAAGAGAGTCAGGTTTAAACGTCTGGCAGGGCCAGAGAACAGACGCTGGTTCACAGCTACACTGTTTAAGTAAGAACTTCCCCGCCCCGTTCCCTCCTCTCCCTCCGTTAACAATTTGGGTAGAGGAAGAACTGATGCTGAGAATGGGAAAAGAGGAAAGCAGTGACCACTTCCCTTTTCTCCTCTGCATGCAGCAGGCCCACGCTAGGGAATGCTGAGAACATTGACCATTAACCACATTTAAAGTTTTGGTTATGACAATGGACTAGACATTTTCATTACTGACCAAGGACTTATTCTACTTCAGGGAGACCATGGGTTCTGCCTGACCTATCATCCAGCGGCAAGGGGAAGAATTGGATGTGAGGAAATGAAATTTATGTTTTGATCTGAGCAAACCATATTTATTATCTAATCCTTGAAACATATACTTTAGTCTCATTTTTTCCCCCTCAAAGCAAGGGAAAATCTTCCGAAGAGGAAGATTCTGACAAATAGAACCAGCCTCACCTCACTCTTCCTATCTCACCAAAATTGGATAATAACAAACAGAGCTTTCAGAAATATCCTCTACAGAGACTTAAAACCTCCAAGAGGTGGTGCAGATGTATAAAAATGTTCAAGAAGAACTGGAAAAATCAGTGGACGCCAAATATGTCATGGGATATTATGAGCGTCAATGAATACCCTTCATTTTCCAGTTGACCAAATGCAAAGTTAACCAGCCATGCCCCCTCAGGCCACCCCTCTACAAACGTGCGCAGCGTTCACTGGGAAGACCAAATCCTGGGCAGGATGCTCCATGGGTCTGATCCAATACAGCAATTACTTCTGCTGCTACAGCTCCCATAGCACCCTAGGCTTCTTTTCATAGCGTTTAATGCTCTGTATGGTAATTGATTTTTAAATTTATTTAGCAGGATCGTGAATTTAACTCACATCACATCTCCGAAGTATGGCGATATAGTCCCTTTGTTAACTCATCCAGCCTCCTTCCTCAGTCCCCACCTGCTGGTAAGGAGCGGAAAAACAATTAACACTTAAATCCTTCCCGGTTTACACTTATCTGATCCAATAATTTAAACAGTCCCTTGAAGTGATATTAGTCTGTCTAGGAAAATAAAACTCAGTCTGTCAGATATCTCACCCTTTCAGCTCTGAGATGTTAACTGGTGGATGTATGCAGGTGGGGAAATGTGGGGTTGCTAACCTTGTGACCAAGGGGAAGGCTGTGGTCCCCGAGAACCTCTTCTATCCTTGTCCACCTGGCCCTGTCTCTCGGTGTCTGATGGCCCTCTCTCACCCACTCTGCCTCTCCTGCTCCTCCCAGCATGACATAGTCCTCTGACTTCTGGCTGTGACTCCCATTTCATCCTGACCCATCTTGCAGTCGCTCACCCAGCTCACCAGCGCTGTGGATCCCCAGCCAGATTCTCAGGTATTCTCGGTCACAAGGGCCCCATATGGTAAGTACAGGTGACTCTAAAGTTCAACCTCATGACCTCCCTCCACCTGGGCATGCTGGCCCCACTAGGGTTGATAGGAGGCAGCCTGCAATGAGGCCTCTCTTCAGAGTGTCAAATGGGGAGTCGGGGAGGAGGCCTCCTCTGCCCTTGGTGTCTCCCCCAGTCACCTGATGCTCAGTCAGAACATGTCTGATCTGCTCCTGTCTTGCTCTCCTTCCCACAACCCTGGGGCTGAAGAGGAATGGCTTCCCTCCCCACTTCCTGGGTGACACGGCTTCTTTCTACCACAGCGCAGTTAGACCCCATCTATGGGGTGTCCTGTTTACCCAGGAGAGAACTCGGAGCCAAGTCGTCCAGGCTTGGTTTCTAATGGATAGAAAATGAAAGTGAATAAAAGCATTTAGAAAATCCCCTCTCAATAGCCTGGTTTTAGAGGCTATTGTTTGGCTGTCCAATCTTATTTTGAAGGTCAGAAGCTGAATATTCCATCTCTCTGCATTATAAATTGCTTAGAACAATCCATAGCACCCAGTAAACAATGTTCTCTTTTTGTAACAAGTCTTCCTGTGAAACTAGTTGGTGTCTTGGGCCAACTAGGAAAAATATGTGTTAGGAAAAGCAAAAGAGAACAATTATGTTAATAATTTCTAAGATACTCACTTTATTAACATTTACATTTTACCATATTTCAAAAGTATTGATTCGTATATGTATGTAGAGGAATTCAAACAATATAGAATTATCAAGATTACTATGTGAAAGTCCCCATTTAGCTTCTAATGTTTTCCCTGTCTTGGCCCCCCATTCTACTCTTTTCATAAGCATTTTGTTTGGATCTCTTTACTTATTCATTTCCTCCATTACACTATGAGATTTCTGAGCTGGTCTGTGTAGTGCCACAGGCCATCAATAAATATTTGATGAATGAATAAATGATTGAATAATGAATAATCAAATAATACAGAGCAAATGAAATAGCTTTAAGAAAAAAAATTCATTGTTATATAAGCATGTTAAGATTTTACTTAAGTTTTAAGGTTTCTTGATAGGATTACATTTGATTAAGACAGAACAGAGATTAAATTATGAGGCCTCATTTTTCTAGGCTCTGGAGATAGAGGCAGCGCTGGAGATAGAGGTCCCTGTTCTCAAAGAGCTTACCTTCTAGTGGGGAGTGTGGGTGGGAGATAGAAAATAAATGAGTAAAAAAATAAGTGAATAACTTCAGATTATGGTAGGTAATATGAAGAAACGAGATGGGGTAATGTGAAAGAGAATATTGGGAGGTGGAAAGCTGCCTTAGATTGGGTGGCAGGAAAGGCCTCGCTGAGGAGTGGCATATGAGCTAAAACTTGAAGGATGAGGAAGCAGACTTATAAAGATCTAGGGGTCACAGTATTTCAGGGAAAAGGCATGAGTTGAGTTTAGTGGGTTCATGGAACAGAAAAAAGGCAAGTGTGACTGGAATACAGCAAATATGGGTGACAGATAGGAGATGAGCTGAGAAGGAAGGAGGTGAATCCAGGCTGCCTAGGGCCCTATCGGCCATGATAAGGAGTCTAAATTTTTCTAAGAGCAACAGGAACCATTGAAAGGTGTGGCAGATGGAATTTTCTAAAGGTCACTGCACCAATATATATCCCATCCACATGCTCTTTTTATATAGTGACTGAAGCTTTCTGATTGAGAGTAGGGTCTATTCCCTCAGTTCGAGTCTACGTATGGGGCTTGTCACTTCTCTGACCAATATACTCTATTGGTAGAATACACTCTATATGGCAGAAGTGAAGCTAGTGACTTGCAGGTAGGTCGTGACAAGAATTCTCTCTCTCTCCCTTTCTCTCTCTCTCTCTCTCTCTCTCTCCCCCTCCCTCCCTCCCTCCCCACCCCCTCTTTCCCATGGAACTTAGCCACCATGCTGTGAAAAAGCCCTAACTAGCCTTTATAGAGAGATCACCTGGAGGGACCTGTACGGAGAGGTGCTGAAGCTCCCAGCCAACAGCCAGCATCAGCTGCCAGCCACATGACAAAATGAGTCTTCAGAGAATTTCAGCCCCAACCTCTGAGTGCACCAGCTGAGCATCCAGATGTCATGGAACAGAGACAAGCCATCTCTAATATGCCCTGTCTGAATTCCTGACCCACAGGATCCCTGAGCATAAAAAAATGGTTGTTTTTCCCCACTATAGTTTGGGGTCATTTGTTACATAATAAGTATAGTAACTGGGACAAAAGGGTACAAACAAGGAAGTTTGTCTGATGTGTTCAAATTTGAAAATGTCATTTAGCATCCTGTGAGAAGAGCAGATTATATAGAGTAGAAGCAAAAAGACTTATGAAGACACCCTAATATGTCCCAGCTAGAATCAGTTATTCCTTCTTATGCATACTTCTAACAAATCATCTATAAATATATTACGCTTATTGGCCTACATTTCCCTGAGGGACCTTAACGTTTAGTAGATAGTTTTTCTCTCTAGGAAAACTAAAGTAGATCTTTGAAAATCCTGAAAGATTTCCTAATGAAAACAATTCATTAAAATAGTTGCCTTCTTAGTCTTCTTTGGCCATATATCAAAGGAACCGGAGCTTTGTGAATTAGGAAAGGCATCAAATTGATAAAAATCAATTTCTTAATCTTCTGGTAATACTTTGGATTATCTGAGAGAAGACATTTTATTCATTGTGCCTCTCTTATGTGTAGTAGTGATAATAATGCTTATCTCACAAGGTTACTAAAGGCTAATGAAATAACATTTGCAAGTTATTAAAGAGTTTGTGGATACATTAAGTCCCTGACTTACAAACGAGCTCCGTTCCAGGAGAACATTCATAAATTGAATTCGTTCTTAAGTCCGACAAAGTGAGTCTTATACACCTTTGACACAAATATACAATGTAAAGCCAATGGTTGAACAATTCATGTTATAAGAAAAAGCGACATCTACCATCTTTTCACCTCGGTCCAATCTCTCAATTATTGGGTTATCATAAAAGTCGTGACATATTTTTTTCTATGTTTTTCATTGCAAAAATGCGTCATGACTTTTACTACAACCCAGTATTTTCACTTTTGTTTCCATGGTTATTGTTTTGCGCTTCCTAGCATTCCCCTCCACATCACCACTGCTTTTACTCTTGCTTCCGGACATCCTTGGCTCTGATAGAGCACTGTACTACTGTACACTATTGCACTGTACAGTAAGCACACAGCAGCACAACTGTGATAATGTCTGGCAGACACATGAATGAGCTACTTCCATGATTTGTTCGCATCTGCAAATGTTCATAATGCAAGGTCCGTTAGTATCTGTGAAAGTTCGCAACTCGAATGTTCGTAAATCAGGGACTTACTGTAATGGTTTCACAGTCAAAGATTCTGATGAGACTCCTTCTGTTCTGAGAAAATGTGTGCCTGTGTGGTTGGGGGTAAGGTGGGAGGGGAGGAATGGATCCCTTTCAGGTGTCATTTCCTTGGACTTAGGATGTTGCTCCATTTCATCCATTCACCCTGGAGAGTCAAGTTTGATTTCTCAACCATTGCCAAGAAACATATGACTGACTCGTATCCTTAAAAGATTGAGTGTTTATTAGCACTGTGCTAAACACTTTACAAACACTATCTGATTTAATCCTTACAATGAACCTACAAGAGGAGTACTACTGTTTCCATTTTACAAATAAGCACAGTTAAGTACAAAGAGGCTCACTTACTTGAACAAGACAATGCAGCCAAATAGAGCCAGGATTTGAGCCCAGTTCTCTGACTTCAGAGTCTGAGCTCTTAGCTCAGTGCTGTACTCTACTAATGATCTTCATGGATGCTGCCCAATAGGTGGGTAGCAGTAACTCAATAATGTCCCATTTCCTTTATAAAGTCTTCCTTGACTTTATCAGACCACAGATATATCTAGCTCCTCTGAGCTATTGCAACACCTATTGTCTGTATCATTTACTTAGCATCTATCATTTATTGTCTCATAGTTTGTTTGATTTTGTGCATGTTTTCTGCCTGCATCAATTGGGGATCCTTGGTTGCAAGCTACAGAAACTAACTGAAATGCTCCCTACCATTCCCTGACCCCACATATGTGAAGAATATGGGGTAATTCACAGAATCAAAGGAAAACAGAATCACCTTGGGAAAAATAGGAACTGAAGACAACTTTGGAGATCTTTATAGGATAAATTTATGGAAGTCACTTTTGGTAGGCCGTCGGAATAATTTAACTCCAAGTGTTTTCATTCTACCCAGTGCCACTCTACTCAAGACTCAGATTCCTGTTAGAGGCAGACGGTCCGAGTGGTCCAGTTACTATAGTCATCTGCCCCATCCTGTAGAGCACTGAGACTGTGGTGGGTAATCCTCAGGATCCAGAATAATTATACTGTGATACAGAATGAGCAATAGTTCATTTCTAGAGTATGTTGACAAATTTCATGGCCCCTGATGAAAAACAATATATTTTCAGGCAGAAAGAAGAAACTGTGGTCCAAAGACAAGATTAAGGCATAAAATTATTTAAACCACAAAAGACCCTGAGAATAAACAGAGACATCATAATTCTTAGGATAATGCCCTAGGGAGAGGCACATCAATTCAGGCTTCATCAGTAAAAGTCAAAGTATTCAGTCTGTTATACTCTCATTAACTGTCCCTCCTGTTTGTTGCATTTAGAGCTGTTCACTGTGATAAATTTTATGGTTTGATCAATCTTACAGCAGTTTATACCTCTTGAATAACCAAATATGGAAATGAATTTTTATGAGCACAAGTTAGAAATAGTACATTTATAGCTATAGTTAAAGTAAACTTGGTTGATAAATTCTAAGTAAAGTTAGAATGATTAAATTTTAATACAAACCAGTTCAAGATTTTTTTTTTCAAATTAAATTTTAGGGCCTACAAACTTTCTTGTGAAAGCATGTGGTGTTTTGGATTAAATGTTGTATTATTCCACTACTTAGAAATCCTTTCAGAAAGTTCTCTTTCCCTAAGTGCTATGATATTGACTGGTCAATGCAGAGCTCAAAGTAGTAGCAGAGAATCAATATTGGCTTAGTTACAGCTTGGCAAAGCCAAGGGGATAAGCTAATAAGAGCTGTTGGACCAAAAAACCATCCAAAGATAAAAGGCTCTTTTTAAAATATAGCAAATACAAGATATGTAAAATTCTAATGAAACAATTTAAATTTCTTCCAAAGAACTCAAACCTTTCTGCACATATTATTTAAATCACCTACAAAACACAAAAAGATCATGTGTTTCTCAAGACCCAAAAATGTTAAATCACTGACATAAAATTACCCGGTAAATCAGTGTAAAAGTTTGGGCAAGAAGTTTTTCATCATATATTTAATCCACTATGCAATAAAAGTTAAATATAAACCTCTAATGATTAATAGTAACGTATACATAACCGTTAAAGAAATTAAACCCAATCCCCTAAAATTTCAAATAATCACATCTACTTTTTCTGTGTTTCTATCTGTTATTTTTCACATATTTGCTATTAATGCACACACATCATTCTACATTTTTCTTTGATTCCTCAGTATAAGCCTGCTACCTTCATATTGGACAAAAAGAAGCCAATCGAATCCCTCTCACTTGAGAATGCCCACTAGGGCATTTGTATTTTAATACAGTAAGAGTTTTAGTTCCTCTTTCCATCCCAAACAAGGGCATATCTTCTGTTCTCAACTTAGCCCTAAAGTACTAATGGGCATATGACTTTAAAGCTAATGTGCTAGTTCATTAGTTGGTTGAGAATAATAACTTGATACTTTTCTTGAGTCGTAAAATCAAGTTTATAAAACCATTCATGAAACAAAGTACTGATCTTCTAATCCATAATATAGCATCTACTACCACATCTCACCTTCAAATTTTCATTGCACATGAATGGAGCCAGACTACTGATGATTGAATATTCTTTTTCTTTTCATAGAATGCTTCCAGAAAACAAACAAATCACTACCCAGTTATAGATCTCATACTTTGAGAGGTATGTGGAGAGTCTAAACTATGATTTGTAAATGATAAAATCTTTAACTATAATTACAGTGCCTGGAAAAATCCTGAGGTCATATTTAATAATCAAATGCATTACTGAATATGATTCAGAATAGCTACACGTTTTTGTTCTTTGAATTTAATGAAATGAGGTAATTTCTGGCACAGAGCAGGCATGTAATAGTAATGGCTAAGTTGACTGAGTACAGTGCCAGGCACTGTGCTAAGTGATTTCTACATATTATTTCATTTAATTCTTACAATAGAATTATGGAATAGGCACTTTGTTCCTTCAGACGAGGAAACAAAGCTTAGAGAGCCACACAACTGGTAGTAGTTAAATGGGGTGGGGACTTAAACCTAGGGCTGACTGATTGCAAAATTCATGCTCTTAACTGTTATGCATCTTAATTTGATAAATGAATGCACTGATGAATGAAAGAATGAGTAAGAGTTATACTGTAAATAGAAAAGGAATTATATGCAAGTCATGGAGTAACTGACTACTGGTGGCTTAAACAGTAAATACATTAAATCATTTCATATAACAAGAAGGCTGGGCAGATTCAGAGTTAAGCAGACATTTGCTTTTTCTCTTCTGTCATCTCAGTGTGTCTGCCATGTCTCTTCACGATCAGAGCTACCACAGCTCTAATTATATCCTCATATCACAACATACCAAAATGGAAGAAGAGATAGAAGCAAAAGATCCTGTATATCGTATGAACTTCTTTTATCAGGATAGAAAATCTTCTCAAGGACCTCTTAACAGATTTCCCCTTGCATCTAATTACCAGAACTAGGTCACACAGATGCATACCCCTAAACCAAATACAGGCAAAGGAGAACTGGATTGCCATGGCTGGTTTAGACCAGTTCAACTGTGCTGCCCAGGACAGTCACCCAGGAGGTTTGATCCCCACCTTCAGAGATTCTTATTTATTTGTCTGGGGTGGGGTACAGACATCAATATTTTTAAACATTTCCCCCATGATTTTAATATGCAGCAGGTTGAGATCCAATGGTTTACGCCAATCTTGATTTTTCACTTTAGTCTGGGAATGTTCCTACCCTATAAAAGTGAGCTCTGTAGCAAGGAAGGGTAGGCAGACCCCACAGCCCACAGGATCTAGAAAACCCTCCTCCCAAAGATAGCATATCTGAATTCTACAGAAGACATTATTCCATGAATTTAATTCAATTCATCAAGCATCTGTTGAATTTATACTACTATATGTGCAAGACTGCTATATGTGTATAAAGTAAAAACTGGGAGCAGAGCACAATTTTTCTTTATCTTGTGGGTCAATTTCCTTATAACAATTCCTTCACTCAGCACCTAGGAGTATTAGTCTCCAACATGTAGTTACTGAGCACTTAAGCAAGGTAGCATATTAGGCATTGGGCTCAAAAAGTGAACAAAGCAGGCAGAGACTCCACCCTAATGGAAACTTATATTCAAGAATATGGTTAAGCTCTAGACATTGAAGGGAATAGTAAAGAAATATGAATGACAGTTTCCTCCTTCCATAATTTAACAATTCAGGGTTTACCTCTTCACTTTTTACTTTTTTAAAAATTTTAAAATTAAAAAATTTTTTTTGTGAAATACATTTTTAAAAATTAGTTTCAGCTGTACAACACAGTGCACTAGTTATACTTTTTACCCCTCCCCCAATCCACCGCCCCACTTCTCCCCCATATCATACATATTACAATTCCATTGACTCCACTCCCACACTATACTCCCACGTCCTATGACTATATATATATATATATATATATATATATATATATATATATATAT